AAAACGAGAGTAGGTTATTTTAGCCAAAAACTGAATGCAGGCATAATGTATGAAGCTGGTCTGCACTTGGTTGGCGCCCCATCCTGTGTTGCTCCTCGCCCTTTGCCCGTGGCTTCCTGGATAGCCCCCCACCCCCCAACTCAGCATTGCACAAGCGGGTACAGAAGATGGATGGATGGTATTAAGTTAGTTTAAGTGATATTTGCACTATATGTTAGTGTACATTTTCTCCTGGTGTACCATTCATCCTTGTGCTTGTTTTCTGGGACTTCAGGACCATTGTTATCCAGTACTCTATTCACGGTACTCTATTCACGGTACTCTATTCCCAGTACTCTATTCACGGTATGTATAAGCTGGCACTCTATAAACTGGCACTCGATAAGCACTGTGCAGTACCATTAGCTAAGAAGTGTACTTTTTCAGTATACAACACAGTAGTTCACAATACAGAAGATATTGCAAGTACACTTCACTTTTTATCTGTAAATGTCGCATTATAGATTATGTATTTAAGTAGTTTTTACTGCTGTTTTCTTACCGTGGTTTCAGACGAACATTGTCTTGCAAAGCATATCATACGCTTTGCACACTTTGCATTTAGTTTTCACTCAACCAGTATTACTCACAGTTTCTGTGCTGGCTAATTTCAGACCCATTAGGTTTAGCGCAGGGACGATTTCTTATTATTCATGGAGCTCTGGTTCTTTGAAATGCAGCTTTGCGTTGAAACCACTGAGAGTCTCAGATACCTCCTTCTCAGAATCCTCTAGCTGTTCCAAAACACAACCTTCTCAAACATGTAACCTGGGGACAAAGAGTCTCTTTCCTGAGATCAATGACTGCCTTTTGTTTAACAGTAACTGTAACTCAGATACTGCAGAGATGACCTACAAAATGGCAACTAGGAGATGTTTTCTTCCTTACTGTTGAAGACTGCAGAAAACACCCCATCAGAAATAAACTAATGGTTGCCATATACAGTATGATCTTCACCAATGTTCTTTGAAGTAGCTTTCAGGTTTGCCTCATCCGGATTGCATGTGCATGAAAAATCATTATTGCTTAAGCTATCATCAAACTGAAAATCACTTTTTAGCATATTATGCAATCTGCTATTTCTGTGTGCAAGAGTGGATTGTGTTTGTGGATTGTACCGTTTCAGTAAAGATGCTTTACTGACACATTTTTATTCAGCTATTGTTTTCTGCATTATTTTTGTGCCTGTATTTGCCCTGCCACAGAGATGTCCAGCAACCTTTTTTGTGATATTGTTCTTTTGGTCCTGACCATAGGTGAGGAAAGGGATGTAGATTGACCACAAGCCTTGTCTATTAACATAACTCTCGCTTGATCACCACTCTTCACAAAAGTGCAGTCACCCCACGAATCTGCCTATAAGAGTGTAGTCACACTAGGCAATCCATACCATGCATGAGTGTGTTTTACCCCCAAAGTCTAGTTTGTTTGACTAGTGTAATCACTCCGGTTCAGCCGGGCATAATTCAGCTGATCCTGGTATGTATCTAGTGTGATCACTAACCATGCTCAAGCACGAAACACAGACATGATGTAACTGACACACACACGCGCTAATCTACACTATACATGAATTGGACCTGGAAGGCTTGGCCACCGCTGGTTTAGGAGGCGTGCTGGACAGATGCCAGAACCACCTTAGATGGCTGCTTTAGATTTTAGGCTGTCCAAAATGTCTAAGCTGCACACCCAAACTCTAAGGCTGAGTGCAGGCAACCTGTGAATGAAGCTTGTTTCTGCTCCTTGAATTCGCAACCTCATTCTTCCTGTCACTAAAGCTTGTGACCTTAGGTGAGGGGAGGAACACAGCTTGACTAGTATCAATAGCTTTGCCTTTCAACTTAGTTCTCTTTTCACTTCGACAGACTGGTGCAATGTCCGCATAACTGCTGACGCTGCCCCTATCTGCCTGTTGATATCCCCTTCCCTTCTTCCCTCACGTATGAACGAGACCCTGAGATATCTTCACTTGAGTCAGTAATTTATGCCCCAGTAGGAAAGGGCAACCCGGTCGAGAACCATAACCTCAGACTTGGATTTGCTGATCCTCATTCTGCTGGCTTCACACTCAAAGTGCCTCAGTGCTACAGGTCACAGCCTGATGATGTCATCATGACCACATCTGCATGCTACAGGTCACAGCCTGATGATGTCATCATGACCACATCTGCATGCTACAGGTCATAGCCTGATGATGTCATCATGACCACATCTGCAAAAAGCGAAGATGCAATCCTGAGGCCACTGAACCGGACCACCTGCACCCCTTCGCTGTGCCTAGAAATTCTGTCCATAAAATTATGAACAGTATCAGTAACACAGGGCAGCCCTGGTGGAGTCTAACACCCACTGGGAAGGAGACTTATTGCCGGCAATGTGAACCAAACACTCGCTCCGGTTACACAGGGACCCTATACCCCATACTCCTGAACCACCCCCCACAGGACCCCCCAAGGCACATTGTCATATGCCTTTTCATACAAGTAAACTGCTTAGACAATCTCCCTGCCCTAGGGCCGCTTCCTGCCTGGGGAGTAAGAACCAGGGGAGAGGGGAGCATGGGTTTATGATCGGCGGAGCTGTGAGACGGTGCCCAAGGGCCGCTTCCTGCCTGGGGAGTGAGCTGAATTTGCCAGGTAGCGTGATGGTGTGAGCTCAGTCTTGGAGTTGGGCTGACCACCCCTCCCCCCCCCAGACAGCTCTGGGCTGAAGGGGTCTATGGTGACATAGTCCTGTGAAGGCCAATTCATACTTCACTTTTCGACGTGCGCTTTCTGTTGTGGACGAGGGGACGTGATGTAAATGTCGTCAACAGGGGTTGGCTGGAAACCTTGTGCGTCAACTGCACACGTGCAAGATAACTGCCTTGGTATATCCAGTGGGTGACATGTTTGTAAACTTTGTCCTTTCAATTTGTTCAGCTCAGACCAACAAATAAGCTCTGGGAACCTCTTCTCATTTACATCTGTTTAAGATTAATGATATATCTGTTCAGCCTTGCACAAAGGAGACTAAGGGGGATATGATCCAGGTATATAAGATTCTAACGGGTCTGGATGCTGTTCAGCCAAATGGCTACTTTAATATTAGTTTAAATACTAGAACCCGTGGCCATAAGTGGAAATTAGCTGGAGAACATTTTAAACTGAATTTGAGAAAACACTTCTTTACACAGTGAGTAGTTAGAGTATGGAATAGTCTTCCTGCTAGTGTAGCGCAAACTAAAACCCTGGGTTCCTTTAAATCAGAGCTAGATAAGATTTTAACAACTCTGAGCTATTAGTTAAGTTCTCCCCAAACGAGCTTGATGGGCCAAATGGCCTCCTCTCGTTTGTAAATTGCTTATGTTCTTATTATCGAGCCCCTAAGAGGTCAGGGTGTGGAAATAGTTTTACATTCCCTTGCAATAATTTTGCGTTCCTACACAATATTTTTCTGTTACAAATAATAACTGCTTAATCATTTAAAATACAAAACATAGAATTAATCGACTAATGAGTACAGTGATCCCCTGCCTATTGCGGAAGTTACCTTGCAGACGCATCAGCGATAGGTGAAAATACACAATATAGAAAGACCATATATGTATAGTTTAAGACTTAAAATACCCCTCCTACATGATTTAGACACGTGAACTCATTAAAACACACTTTGTAAACACATATGATATGTGGATGTCGGGCTAAGGATATGAGTAACATAGTAATAATAATATTAATAATAATAATAATATGTAATGTATGTGTGTGTGTATATATATCACACACACACATATATATATATATAGACATGTCCAGTTAAGTTTGCTTTAAGCATTAAACTATGGGGGACAATACACCAAGTAACTTCCATATATGTTATATATATATATATTAATAATGGCACTGTTTCAATTCACTACCAGTAACTAAACAAGACAGCTGGGCTACTGAAGGCGAAATGCCCACACAAACGTTTGGGTTTATCCTTGCCGTCATGTTGCAGCAAAAAGCAAGTGGGCAAGTGTAATGGGATCGCAAAGCTATTTCAAAAGATGTTTTCCCACCCAGACCTGTAACGGGCTCCGTATATTCCACCTATGTCGTATTATTGATTTACACCCAAAAATCGTATTTTATCAAAAGAATCGAATCGACTTTCAATGAGAAATGTGATCGGGCCGGGGTAAGTCCCCAGAATGGAAGCGCACGAAAGCGCACGTGGCAAGCATAAAGTATAAACTCGGCTTGAGGTAGCAGCCTTACGCCACATGAGCAGCTTCTGCAGTGAAAGACTTTCAAGGTTTCCACTGCTATGTCCGGGTGAGAGGACGTGTCCCCGGGGTTTATGTACTGTAGAACCTTAAAGTATTCCCTCCCCAGTTGGTCAGCATGTCCCCCCTCCACCTGATCACAGCCTCAGTGAGGTCCCACCTCCCCTTACTGAAGCGTAAATCAGCTTGCTAAAACTGGGGCCTCTTCAAACTCTTGCCATGCATGATATTTACCTCCCACGACTGCCTACACTGCAGCGCTTCTAAATGGCTTGTACCTCTCGGCTGACTGAGAAGACCCCGGGGCAGATCCAAGCCTCCTTCCGCTCCCCCTGGAGGTCAGGTCCGCTATCCGCTAGAGAACGTTCTATGTTCCCAAAGCCAGTGTTCATTGCGAAGGTTTAATCTTGCTCATGCTTGCCGACCACATGGCACTGCATGCCACCCCGACGTCTCTCATTGCAAATGGGGAGCCTGTAGGATGGCTCGGGCTGAACCCGGCCCGGTTCTGCAGGGAACCCTGCCAGCAGGTGCTCTCCCAAATACACTTCCCCTGTCCTGGCTTCAGGGCTCGATCCCAGCAGCCTCTTTCCGGGCAGGGTACATGGGTATTTCTTGATACTGGGGTGACAGTTTGCCTAGCTTCTCCTCACAGACCTGTGTGCTAAGTGAGACCCTAGCATGAGCCGGACCTGCAGACGCCATAGCTCCGAGGATCGATAACACACGCAAACCCCTGCAGTACCCTGAGGTCTCCATCCTCGGAGGGTGGGTCTGGAATGTGCACCCTGTGCAATGCGTCAAATCAAGGATGTTTCACTCTGTTTGTACAAGCTGGCTTTTGATCTTTTCCCCCTGAGACACCCCTTCCCCACCACAGGGTGGTAAAAAAAATAACAGCATGACGCATACTACAGCATTTTGGTTACGGTGTCTTTGATGTGGACTTGGCACAGTGACGGCGAGGGTATATTTATGGTGAACTTGCTCGAGTGAAACTCAGTTTAACATGTCTACAGATATGCACTTGAATTCAATTTTATTATTTATATGTGATTTTTTTTAAAGCAGTAATTCTGGTGTGACTTTTGGGCCAAAACCGCTTGAAGAGCCATTCTTGACCTTTCGGCGTCACACCTCTCCCACCACTTTCACAGATATTAACGCAGCCGTTTTGCAAAAACAGGAGTGTGTGGGGAAACGGCGTGATGCTAAATTCATACACGTCTGCCACAGCCCACATCCTCAGTGACGCAGTGCCCAGGTTCCAAGATGTCAGAATGGCTGCTGAAGCGTCACATGAGGAATGTTTCTGGCTGTAGGAACCAGAGCTGAAATCTTGATCATTTCAGCCCGGCACAGAATACAGCTCTGAATCTGCTGCTTGTTCAGATTTTAGGACAAAGATAAAGGTACGTTGTTCTTCTTTAATTCAAGCTTACTGTAGCTGTCACAGTCTTCCTGTTGTAAATAGAGATTGATTTTTAATACCAAATTATGACTTTTTAAAAAATGTAATTGTCATAACTGTAGCGAGGTCTAATATACTAAACACGATATGGCATTTTTAACTATAAATTGAATACAAATGTTAAGGCAAGCAGGAATACAGAGATTTTGCTTGTTTCACAGTAACCGATTCATATTTTTTTTAAGATACAAAATACACTTACATATGTACGTGGTGTTTTTGTCACTGTTGATGACATTTCACTGTGTGATTTGTTTTCATTCCTATTCAAGATGTTTTGTTTTCGCTGTTTGTTGTTTTCAAAAGAATAATGTGCTTTATTAGAGAAATGATTCACTTACTCTAGACTTTCCATTGTGGCTTATATCAGTTCAGTCAGTCTTCTTGTCATAACAAGAAACCCACAAGTAACTTGCCTGACGGTTCATTTAAAAGACAATTTTGATAAGATTTTTTTGTATGACGTTACAAAAGCTTATCTGTTTCATATGAATTGATGAAAAATATTTCTGAGTGGGAAATTTTCTAATCCATCCATCCATCCATCTTTCTTCCGTAATCATTTATCTAACACAGGCTTGTGGTGTGACAGAATGGTTCAGATAATTATGTAACTATCACAAACATATTTAATTATTATTATAAGAGGAAATGATTACTCTTGTTGATTAATGACTTAATGACAGTTGGCAGTGTGATTAAAGTTTGAATGAACATAACAGTGGTGTGAGGAACAATACGGTTCCTCAGAAACCGTTAATACGGTTGCATTTAATCGGCTGGTGCTTTAATAAACACTGAGAACTGTTGAAATAATGGCCTAAACACTGAGAAACCTTGCTTTTGTTTGCACTGAAGGTGTTTCCGCCTCTTTATAAGAGCCTTTACCAAGCCTCGACTTGCCGGCGATGGCCGCCCTTCAGTGTGCTCTTCTTTCATTCCTGCTGCACTGTCTGCTTCACAACAGTAGGTATCCTGAGCCCAGCTCACTCACAGTTTCTCCATAAATTGTGTTTCCTGAAATATATGACTGGACTGCACTATGAAAGTATTGTCTCTGGGGGTTTTCTGAGGATGTTGTGGTTTGTGGCTTAAACTCCTAGATAGGGCAAAAGGCAGTACTTCTCCATGTCCTTTGCTGAGTCCGTTGACTGAATGGTCTATTGATTGGTTCTTGAAACGTAATAAAAACAAAGTTTAAAAAAAAAAAAAAACAGTACCCTACCACTGACTGTCCTTCATCTCCCCCTCACTCCAGCTGCATGCGCATGCAACATCACCTGCACTGCAGACTTCATCTCCTCCTTAAATTGTTCCTGTTCCGAAAAGGCACTCACATCTTCGTACACAGTCATAGCAGCTTGCTGGTGCGTGATCTGTTTGGCCCTGTCATCTTTTCTTAAAGTGATTACGGGTTTTGCTCCATCAGTAACCTACTGTACATTTCTCTTTTGTCAATGACGACCTAAATCCCAACAGATTGAAAGGAAAGAAAGGCCTGAATTGATTCAGCAACTCTGGTAGAGGTTTTCTAAGACAAAAACAAAATTCAGGGTCTTCATTTAACCATTAAAGTGCAGTGCTTCATAATCTGTCTTTGTTTCTTCAAACATGAATAATAACAATATTTCTCAAGTCTTTGCTATTAATAATTAGTTTTTAATCATGGATTTTTTTTAATTGTATTTTATTTTAATTGTATCTTAACTTCATAAGTTCATTTATACACTAAATGTCATACAAAATGCCAGTCAGTACTATTTTAATGGGAAAAAAAATATGCCAATTTCAAATATATATGTAAGGCTCGACAATTCATGCTGAAATCCACAGTTCATGAGTCTGACATTTGCCAGTTACCCCTGGTTTCAGTTATGAGAATTGTTCCTTTCTCCCTCTGTTTTGTGTCTGAAAAGTGTATTTCAGTGAAGTTATAATTGAAAGTGATAAGTGAAAGTTTGTTTCATGTCCCTTATGGTATTAAAGCACCCTACATATCTGTAAGCCACAAGTATATCTTTATTTTCTTTAAAGGAATGAAATAGAAAAAGTGAACAGGAGCTGTGAGATGACGCCCTCTCAACACTGGTGCACCACTGAACCAGACTTTGACTTAGTCGTTTCTGTTAATGCAAACTGCTCCGCAAGCGTGACCAAGTTCAACAGCGAAGGGTTTCCGGAATCCATCAGCTCAGTACATTTCCTGATGTATGAAAAGAGTAAGCCAAAATAAGCAAGTCTCTTACAACAAAATCGTAATTACACTAGAATACATTTCAACATTTTTAGTTCTCAGTATTGGAATATATTCTCCCACCTTTCTGTCCATTTCTTATGTATGTCCTTCCTCTTTGTGTAGATTTTATTTATTTGTTTGTTGTTTTTGGTGGACTCTATATGTTTAAGTAAGTATATACTGTAATGCTAACATAAATGTCACCTATCACCCTGTTTATAAACCAACCTTATTTAATATTCTAACAGTATAATAGTGCATCTCAATGCCTCATTCTCTCTCACACTCCTTGCGACTGTAGTAAAACCAGAAGCCCCATTCAACATTCGGTTGGAAGAGAATGATGGCGGCTACAATATCTCCTGGACAACGGCCTATGAGGACGAAGACTCATACTTGCATAAACACCTGATTTACCGAGTGCGAATAAGAACAATAGATCAGCCTTCTGAGGTAAAAAAAAAATAAATAAAAAAATGGAGACCCTCTGAGGTATTGTGGTGTACCATTTAATGAGTCATAAAACCCAATAAGAAGCATCACTATTTTGGATTAACTCGGGGGAGTTCATTCATCAATGTGTGACTGAAAGAATTATCACACATTTATACCAACTGCTAAATTATTTTGCTAATATTGTCTGTGCCTTGGACACTTGCACTTAAAGTGGCACACACTGATTTAACACCACCTCCATACATCTTTTATACATTTGTTTTGTCACCATGCCTGTTTCATTTTACCAGGGTGTTCAAAGTCACAAAAGTATAGACTTAATCCACATCATTAAAATTCTTTCTATTGGCTGGAAAGCAAAATTTCAATACGAACCCTTCGAAAACTGGGCCACATGTCCAGTAAAATTGATTTGTTTATAGAGTACTAGGCTGGTGTGTAACATAAAAATATTGTGAGTAAATATAAACAGTTTGATGTATTGTTGGCTAGCCAATTAAATCGTGATTTTTTTCGTAAAAGGAACGAACTTACTCCATTGATGAGGACAGGAGTTACTTGGAAATTCCCTATGGACTCTTCAGGCCTGGGACTGAGCATGAAGTGGATGTCCAGGCATCTGTATCCCCCACCTATATGGAAGCATTCTGGAGTGAATGGAGCCCCTCCAAGAAATGGAAAGTCATTAGTGAGTACGGCTCTCAGCAGACCTTTAGCTAGGAATGAATCTCAGGGGGGTCTGGAAGATTTTGAGGGGTGGTTTCAGCCTGTAATACTATGTGGCAACATGCTTGGCTCTCAGACAGGGATCATCAACCTGTCTGTACACAGGTGATGGCCGTATGTGTGAGTGGCAGAATGTGTTGGCTCAGAAAAGCAATGTGTTGGTTACATTTTTAAATACTATGTTTGTGGAAAAATTGTACTTTGATCAAATGGTCTGTCAGAATTCCTGATGGCCATGACCCCTGTTCTCAGATCATCTATTTAGTGAAATAAAAACCACGTCACAAACGTAAAGGAATTTTTCAGCGAGAGCTTTCACCATGAAAGTCAAATTATTAATTAGTTTTACAGTTTATCTCTCTGTTGCTTAGTTGCTCTGTTGGTTTCCATGTAGACTATTTTAGATAAATGTCTAATGTTACATATAACATGGATATGTAGCATTCAGCCGTGATTATGTAAAAACAGATTATTGCTTTAGTAGAAATCCGGAGGGATATAAATAATTTTTTTGGTTCATTTAATCTCAGGGGAAGTTCTGCTCACTACCATACAGACTTTGTATCTTTGTCATTTTTCATAATACTGTAATTTCTCTTGATTTGTTGGTGTGTGGACTATACTTCAGCTCTTTGCCTTGATAGAGGCTGAGCCTTGCCCTTCTTGTTATTTCAGGTGATAAAGGGAACCTCTACATGTATGTGTTGCCTTTCCTGTCAGTGCTGCCCTGCTTGCTCTTGATTTACTTGGGAAGAATGTAAGTACAGACAATATGTTGCTATTTTGCATAAATTAAGCATAGGCCTCAGAAAAAGATAATTTCTTCCATATAATATGAATGCCACTCATTTCAAATAATAATATAGTGCTAATTATTTACCTTAACACCAAAAATCAGCATCTGGTTAGCCAACGAAACATCTGGGGCGTATTGGATATTTGAGCACAAAGATAGTCCGTTATAGCTTGGGTCTTTATGGGAAAAGATGCATAGTGTCCCTAACAGTAAATGAGCTCATATGGCCTGAATTTGCAATGTCTAAAGCATGTCAAAATGAGTTTTACTTGTCCCTTTGCTCGCAACATCTTCCCACGCACGAAAACCGCGAACTGCAGTAATTTCGAGTTGAGGCAGAGACTTTGTTGGCGCCAATCGATACAGGAAGCGAGGTCAGCACTTGCCTTCACTGGTGTTCCTGCGGAGGCTTGCATATATAGAAACGTCACGGTACAAACTTATACCATAGTTTTACAGTCAAGGGCCTCTTGTTGCCTCCACAGTTCTGAATATACACTTCCTGTAACCACAGAGAATTCTGAATTGTGCTCGGAGTGCAGTTTTTTCTGCTTATGTAACCTTGATTTATCTGTAGAGGGAGCAGTCAGACATCTCAGCCAATGAGTGCACCTTGTGGATTTGGCCAGGGTTAGAGGGTAAAATATGTTTCAGTTTTACTCCAAAAGCTTCTACTTCCTTCACGGAATGCAAGTCATGGAGTTTCCTGGATGACCAACACTGTTAGATGTGATTTGTGAGGACACTATCATGGAGGAACAAGTAAACAATCAAAAGTAAAATCACATAGACATCCAAACACATCAGAAGACCAGGGCAAACTCTTACCCCAGCATCTTGGCATGGGGACAAGCAAAAGGGATGGGGAGGGCAGAGTAAGGAGCGAATGAGAACCCAGAGACACATTAACTTGGTCTGCAGCACCTGGGGGGCGGGGGCAGGGTAGGAAATACCCATAAAATTCAGGTTGAAAAATTCAGGTAAAATAGAGAAAATGTCAGAAAGAGCAAAAGAGCACAGATGTAATTGAGCACAATCTTGGCCAATCACAAGACAGGCCACCAGTCATTTGAGTTGGGGTCTCCTAAATCCACCACCTTAAGATGGTGGCTAATAGCAGCTGCAAACTCAAACTCTGGATGGATGGATTGGATAGATAGATAGATAGATAGATAGATACATAGATACATAGATAGATAGATAGATAGATACATAGATACATAGATACATAGATAGATCTATCTATTTATTTAATTATCAATACCCTGATGGAAATTAAGTTGTCATAGCAGCCAGGAACATTTAAAGTAAACAATAAAATTACAAGACAAAACAATACGATGATGACATAAAATAAATAAAATGAAATAAAATACTACAATACTGAATAGGATACTGCAAAAGATAAGGTGCAAAAATGCAAGTAGGCTGTGCAAGGAATCTGACTTGCAAGGTAAAGCCAATAGACATAACTAGTCTGGTTATGGAGTCTAATCTCATGGGCAGTTGAGTTATGGAGTCTAAACACAAATTCCAATAGAGGCATGCAAAACAAAAAAATGTTGCAAATCCTCTCACAACACAACAGATGTTTACGTGGGACAATTAAACTACATGAGCCATTATAGGTGGGTGGTATATCAAATGTTTATAGTATACAGATCAATTTTCAAAATGAGATAGTGGATGACACAATACCATTTATATTGATATAGGCTCATTGTTATTACTAATAATAGTTGATACAGTGGAAACCGCTTATAATAATCACCGTTTTAATGATCAACCGCTTTTATTGATCAAAAAGCTTGGGACAGAATCATTCTTATACAAATATTGTTTAAATAATTCGCATATAGTAATCAAGTAGTCTGCTTACATTGTTCATTTTGGGTTTTTTTACACATGACAACACATGTAAAAAATATATAACTACAGTATTTTTTTTAACTTTACTTTGATAGTCCTACTTTGCGTTAACCCGTCTGCCTATTGCTAGCTACCTGAGGCTAATGCTGCGTGCACAGAAAACCTGAAGGGAAAAAGAAAGTCTTTTTTTCTCAATAACAAATATACACTCATCAAAGCTTATGATAAACTGACCAAAATGAGCCACGGAGATGCAGCAGCGAAACTACAATAAGCAATTTTTCATGTACTGTATTATGACCTATTTGGATTATACACAGTTCACTAATTTAATTTATGCAGTACTGTAATTCGCCGAGTCTGGCCTCAAACCAGCGACCTTCTGATCATAGGCACTGAGGCACTAACCTACTGTACATCCACCACCGCCCCCTCCGCCACCCCGGGTTGGTGATTTATTAAAGGCTTCGGATAGCGATAGTATTCCTTCCTGTAGGCAACGCCAGAGCTGCGGCGGTTACATTACGCAGTAGTAAGTGTTCACATATAAAATTAAACCATTTACTGTAGCGTCTCACTCGGAATTTGATGGAGGGGATGGAGCTTTGGTACTTAATTGATTCATTGTGTTTTAAATCATTGTGAGACGGCTGACTTGTTAAACGTATCGTACTTTGCAGTTATTGTTCTTCCTTTAGTTGGAGGCTATTGCTTTAAATTAAAGATCTTTCCAGGTGTTGTGTGCGCTTTCAGTGGTTGTCGCGCTCCTGTTTTAAAATTTACGTTTTAGATTTAGATTGTTTAGGCACACAAAAAAATAACTTCCACGCGCTTTGAAAGCAGTATCATAAACGGAGAGAAAAGTGCGTGTGGACATACTGGAGTGAAATTCTTTTATTTCATGGCTGCTTTATTTGAAATAGGCAGTTTATTTTGGGTTCATTGTGAGACATGTTTGGAATAAGGAAAATGTTGCCAAGCTGTATATTTGCAAAAAAGGAAGGAAGCCCTGTATTTTGCACTTTGCTTTGGCCACATATTGTGTTAATAAAACTCTTCGTGTGGTTTTTAATAAAGTTTGAAAAAATTAGCACACTTCATAGAAAATATCATGTATCACTAATCTGCCTAAAATACTTAGAGATAATGTTTTTGGTCCATATCGCCTAGCTGCATGGGCGTAAATTACGGGGGTGGGGGGGTTGTAGCCCCCCCAATAAATCAAAACCAGTTAATACAACCCCCCCAATAATAATTTTTCTCCCGTAATGGGTGGAGACCTCAACCCCTCCAATGTTCCAGCCAAAGTCACGCCCTTGCCTTGCTGTACGGACCGTAGAAGAGGGACATACGCGGTTTCTCAAGTCACGAACTACGTACATGTTTTCTTGTTTTAGCTGATTATGACGATTAAGGTGTTTACGTGTGTTTTTAATAAAACGATTACTGCATTTACATGATTAGCTTATCAAAAACACATGAGAACATCTTAATCTGGTTATGTAAACGTAATCATAGTCAGCTAGCGATTTTTTTTTTTAAATTACTAAATAAACAGATTTCACTTCGTGAGCTGAGAAACCGCACGTCCCTCCTCTTCTCTTCTCTGCAGGGCTGAGCGACACATAGGCTACCAAAAACGTATTAAGGTGGTGAATGAAACTCCATCAACAATAACTGCCTGTGAGTGACCTGTCTTGTGACTGGCCACCATTCGATTTGCGCTCCTTTGCGCTTTCTGAGTAACCCGAATGTTTCCGTGTTTTTCTGAACCTGAATTTCTCAAACCGAATTTTCTTGACCTAAATCTTACAACACGAATGCTCAAATTCGATTTCTTCAGTTCAAGTTCAGGTAAACATTCAAATTCAGGTTCTGATATAAAGGTAATGAAATTCAAGTTAGGTTAACATTCAAATTCAGGTAAATTAAAATACAGGTTGTGATGAGTCTGATTTGACGTCATAATTATCCTAGAAGAGACTTTTCCTTTGACTGTTCAATCTATCCCATATTTTGATAAATGACGAGGGGTTGTGAGGTTTACTAATGAGAATCTTAGCTTAGAACAAAGCTGTCATACTACAAATGTACAGTAGGGGGAGGAACATTATTTAAAAAAAACACACTGCGTCCCCTACGCATTTCAGCAATATTGAAAATGATGCAAATGACAACACATTTTGCGAGCGGGGGGGTCTCAACAACAAAATGGAGCAATGGATGCGTGAAATCCAAACTTAATCAGGAGTACAGCGACAGGAGCTCTGGAAAATCGGGAGTGTTGGCAGATGTGCATTCTTCAGCTTATTTCCAAACTTTGGAAGATTTACCGGAGTAATTTAAGCAAATACCGACATAATCTAAGAAAGACTTCTTTGTACAGAATGTCAGTCATAAGTGGAATTTAAAAATGCCCAGTAGGGAATCCCCATTAGTGATGATAACCCCCAATAACATTCTGCCGGAGGTCTTTCAGTAATGATTAAGCCTTCATGTGCCTTTTGGGACTTTCCCTACTCTGATGATTAATTATAATACACCCCCTGACTTGATTATCTGATATTACAGGCTGGCCTGTTAATGCTTATCGTCTGATTTTAGATAGTTCATGAAAAGCATCAGGAATCCCGATGGTTCATAAATACAGATTCATGGGTAGTGAAACTCTGCATAATATAGCATGTAAAGCTAGCATTAGCTTTACATGCTAATTTAAGGAAAGTGTACTATAGCAGGGGGCCCCAGCTGTTTTTCCCCAGGGGCAACATAATCATCTACAACACAAAGCCAAGGTTCACTGCCCCCAATAGTGAAAATTTGCCAAACGATGATAAGAGTTACCAAGCCGTGACACACTGTTCAGATTCATTAGCATTTAACTTGTCAGTTCAGGACTCCTGCACTATCTGCCAATCTTCCCATAACTATTACAATAATCCTGGATATTTGGGGAGGAATATCAAATTACAGAATTATATTCCAGTAATAAAACAATATTAACTGAATAACATGAATTTGAATATTTTTCTAATAATGGATGTCAAATTCTCATTATAACGGTAAAATTATGTATGTTTGGGGAGAGTCCCTCTTCTTTATCTTCCTGCCTTACTTTAGCTTTTTTGAATGATTATAGTCAATTGTTCCACTGCTATGCTATTTTTTCATAGCTGGATGTAGAAGGTTTCAGTTCGTTGCTTCTGCCTCACCACTGTTACCATAAGGTTACGGAACTCTCTCTCTCCCTCTTCCTGTCTGAAAGTGAATTTAACTTGACCACTTTTTTCATGTCTCTCTTTTACAGAGGATGGCTGAAATGGCTACATTTGTACCATTACATTCCAAGTCCTGAAGAGTTTTTCAAGCCTCTATACCACACACACCACGGAGATTTTCAGGTACAGCGATTGTTCCTAGAGTGGGTATTTGTCAAGTTTGACGCCCAGAAACAGGAAGCAACCCATATGAAGAGTGGAAATAGTGACACACGCTGGTGAAAGTTTGATGTCATGGCTGTACCAATCCATTCGGAAAGTACCATTAGCTGCAGTCTGAACTCAGGAAAGGTGGCTATTTTTAAATGGTTAAAGGTTGGGGGGTGGATTCATTGTATCACATATACTCCACAGAGTGATGATAACACGAGGGCGAATCCTTTAAGGCAGGGGTGTCAAACTCTATTTCTGGGGGGCCGGAGCCCTGTGTAGCTTAGTTCTTTCCCTGTTCCACCACAGCTGATTCAGTTTAAGAGCTGTGTGATAATTAGCACAAGGAGTTGAATCAGGTGTGTTAAATGAAGAGAAACCCAAAAATGTGCAGGGGTCCGGCCCCCCAGGACTGGAGTTTGACACCCCTTCCTTTAAGGGGATGATAAACAGGGCCACTTTCTGGGCAATGTTGCCAGGCTCATTGAGATCTGGATCATCTCAAAAAGTCGCCCACTGCTGATCAAAGTTTTTCAAATTTGTTGTCCATTATCTATGGGACAGTCCCTGAGCAGCACTGCCTAGAAACAGTCGCCACGCGTATCGTCACCTTTACGCTTCCCAATCATATATAGTTAGACTAATTATTTTAGCGCACATTTGTCTCTGTGACTTTATTCATGATGAGTTTCCAGACTCCAGAATGAGTTTATGAATGTTGTATGTATACCATAGATAGGCCTCCAGAATGAGTTTATGAATGATGTATCTGTACCATAGATAGGTCTCCAGAATGAGCTTATGAATGATGTATGTGTACCATAGATAGGTCTCCAGAATGAGTTTATGAATGATGTATGTGTACCATAGATAGGGCCCCTTGCTTTCAAACTGGCTCTTTGGAATGCGCATTGTTACCGCAGAATTTGTGACCAGGAAAAGTCACATTTTAAATCCTTAGAATGAACATGATCCATGCCTTGGCCAGAGCCTTTTCATCCCCATAGTTGTCATGTTCATTGAATTTTTTTTTCTAATAACCGCACACCGCTGAGTAGATTTCCCACACATAAGGAAATGTCAGAGGTCAGATTCTATAAATAAATGTTCTAAATATCTGTGCCACATGTAAGATAAAGTACAGTCCAGGTGAACACAGGCTTCATCCAGTTACTGATGGAATGAAACATTTTCTTGATTTCAGTGGTTATTTGAAACCTTAAATTAAAACTATTAGGTTGACTTTTGGTTTTTCAGCAGTATTAAGCAATTGTTGCTAAAAACACTGGTAGTGTTCCTAGTTTTTTTTTTTTAATCAAAATAATTTTTACCATGATGGACTGGCATCCCATCAGTGCGTGACACATTCAGCCCAGCTAAATTGTTACATGGATCAGATGGAGCAAAAAGCAAACTACACAAGGGCAACCAAGGAAAGAAGTGAGCAGACAGCATAAGTAACAATGTCCTGAATGAGATTCCTCTCAGGATACATACAGGCATTATATCAGCATTATATCAGCATTATATCAGCAATAAACCAGCATAAAAGGGGACAAAAGGGACATATGATGATTCTTAATCAGAACAGCATCTCTGCTTGTGTATGTTAGTTTAATGCACAGCATATTAGATGCCACACAAATCCTCTGCTGTCCACAAATGATGAACTATTATTGTTATGATGTTGATGCTTTCATAAGTGCTTTAAGATTTCTTTTGATTTAGACAGAGACCAAGGGGCCCACACCAAATGACTATGCCGCAGTAGCATTTCCATTCAATTCCCCATATATTAGTAGATTTAGCTTAAGATCTTGTACTGCATGCACATGTTTTCCTGTTAATCTCTTAAATGCCTCGATTTACACACTATAAAATTTTTTTGCCAATATATAATTTGTCAGTATAAATGTTCCAGCCGAACATGTTGGCCTGAGCCACAAAAGGCTCTCAAGCAAAATAAAGATACAAAATTAGAGCGACGAAGAACGCCAGCACACATTATTGTCGGACTTGTCGAGCACAGGATGCCTGCACTGGACGATTACAGCTTGTTCCTCTGTAAATTAAACAGCAAAGAAAACAACCGAGGTAGTACATCTGATCTGTTTGTTCCATCATCAGCGGTTCCCAGGCAGTTTTATCACTTTTTCATCTTTCTGGGTGCAAAAACAGCAGCCTATGGCAGCCCACGCTTTTTAGATATCAATCAGAAACACTACAGCCCTCAGCAAAATGTACATGTGAAGAAGCTTAAGCTTGTTTGTAGGGGGGAAATGTGTGTGGCTGCTGATCATGACAACCATGGGCACTTTGGGAGATTCTCTTTTTAAATATTGATTTGATGTATCCTCTTTGTAATATTTCATTGTTTCCACATGATTCAAATTACTTTCAGCAGTCTTCACCTAAGACTAAGCCTTGCAGTCTTGAGCTCTCACTCACAAACCTAGTATACAGTGCATTGACCACATTTTTTTTTCTGTTGCTTACAATGTTTCTCCTTTGAAGGTCTCATTACATTCACTCCTAAGATCTTTATTGACTAAAATGGAGACAATGTCATGAGATGTTTGTGAGGGGAAAAAAAATGTTGAGACTTCTACCAAGAATAATATCTGTGGTTAGTGTTTGCTCATAGGCTGATTTACCAGATCAAAATCTTTTAGGCAGATAAAATCAGTGATGCTGTTCTCATTAGAGGCCTAGAGTGCTGTCAGCTTCTCATCGCACCATCTCGCTTGCAAATGCATGCATAGCACAAATGCAAAGTTTGCAGAAGCAAAGCACAGTTTATTTGATGGAAACAGATTATTGCTAAACATTTAGCATTGTTTTTTTAACCAATATCATAGTTCTTTAAAGATCACTGTCTCTGAATCCTGCCATGTCTGAAGCTCAGTGAGGCAGAGGTCCAGCTGACCTTCAAACCATTTCGCCAACATGCTAGTGCTGACGGTAACTGTTCCCCGTGCGCTGACTGTTTTGCTTGTGTGTCTTGACAGCGTTGGGTGGGCCCCACTTTTACCCTCAGTGAGCCTGACACCTTAGAGAGGACCATCGTGCTGCAGGTGGTGAAGGAGAAGCAGCAGGCACCTCTGGAGAAGCTCTTGGAGGGAAACAACGAGGACACCAGCCGGCGAGACAGTGAAGACAGGCAGGACCCAGGGAGCAGCTCCAGCAAGCATTTTCTCCCAGGAAGCAGCAGCCAAGCCTCAACCCACATGACTGGCCATATCTCCATCCACACGGTAACTGTGTCTGGAGAGGAGAGCTCTGGCTCTCTGAGCCCAGAGGCATACAGGGGAAGCATCTGTGCCTACCTAGGAGACCGTGCAGCAGAAGTCAGCTTAAGCCATCCAGGCAGGGCTGTGATGCACAGGGAGAGGTTTCTCCCGGGACCCAGGAGTGATGAAGACGAGCCCATAGTGGAACAGGGCAGAGCATTTGGGCCTTATCACCTGAACTGGCAGTTAGCTGAAGGCGATCAGGAACTAGAGCGATTGTCTCTGGACTCCTTCTCTTCCAATGAGCGATCCGACGATGGTTACCCCCACCTTGAGCTGGATTTGGACACCATCGACAGTGGGTTCCAAGATTCTGACTGCAATAGCCCAGTGGACACTGAGCTAAACTTGAAGAGGCCAGTTTTGGGGGAGGCAGGGAATCTTCACAGCAACTACATCAGACAATGGGTGACATACAGCTCAGCTTCCGGTGCCACAGACTGAGGATGTTCGTGGGGCAGTGACTGAGACTTTAACTGAGCTGGAAATGAGCTAACAGTGGACTGAGAGAATGGCCGAAATGGTCACAATTATGGAAGGAAAACTATATATAATATATATAGCTGTCCTTTAAGTATAACATTAATGTTGAAACATGGAGATTAAAAAGGATGAGCTGTAAATGGAGCTAAAAAAAAACTAATCAGCAACTCAAATAGGTGTCATCCGTCCGTCCATCCATCCATCCATCCATCCATCCATCCATCACTGTAACCACTTAATCCCAACTGGGGTCACAGGGGGGACTGGAGCCTATCCCAAGAACAAGGGGCGCAGGTGGGAACCAACCCTGGGCAGTCGCCAACACTCCACAGAAATAGGTGTCATATTGACATTAATAACTTTTCATTAATATTTCTAATGGAAGTAAAACTCATTCTACAATGACAGAAATACTCAGCAGCATTTGTGATCATGCACAATGTTCAAAGATTATTAAAGTTATTTCACCTAGTGATCATTTCCACTTCCATACTCTAACAGGTAAATGGATATTAAATAGCACCCAGTACAGAAAAGGTTGGGGTTTGGCTATGGTTAGATGCCTTAGAAAAACTTCATGATTGAACATTTACACATAATTGAGCCTGATGTAAATAAATATCATACTTTGAAAGTTTGACATATTTGTGTTTTGTGAAGCGCTGGTGATTATGGCTGGATTTATAGATACTGTTTTTATTGTGAAATTGTTTGCAAAAGTCATTTTTCCAGTGGTTTAGCGCAATTAATCTGTCAGAAGCTGACCATCACTTCCCGGTGTAGTGCTTTTGTGATAATTCAACTCTTTTGCATGAATGTTCATCAATCAGTCCACTATAATTCCAGTATTTTGTCAAAAGCAAACCTTAAAATTATCTTAGTTAATCCCTAGCCAGACACACCACCAAATGTGAAAAGGGGATATTTACATTTGGCGCGAGGAAAAAACAGTGCCAGAAGCGACTGGACCGATTAGTACCAGCAATTCTGATCTTGAGGATGGCATGTGACAAACTGAGTAACAAATTTCCATCGTTATACCTTTCAAAACACAGGACATAATGCATCAAAACACAGGACATAGTGTGCCACAATACAGGACATAGTGTACCAAAACACAGGACACAGTGCGCCACAACACAGGACATAGTGCACAAAAACACAGGACACAGTGCGCCACAACACAGGACATACTGTAGTGCACAAAAACACAGGACACAGTGCGCCAAAACACGGGCCATAGCACACCAAAACACAGGGAGCATAAGAAGTCAGTTTGAAAATATTTCTGTGTACGGCTTTACTGTGCAGCAAAAACAATAAATAATAATAATAATACATTTTATTTGTGGGCGCCTTTCTAAAACCCAAGGTCACCTTACATAGTCCATAAAAACAAACAATAAAACAAATAAAAAACAAATAATTAAAAAGTTTTTTACATAATCAGACAACAATAGGTCTAACGTGAATAAGCCAACTTAAACAGATGAGTTTTGAGGTTTGACCTAAACAAGTGAAGAGAATCGATATTTCTGATATCCGCTGGAAGTGAATTCGAAAGACGGGGAGCAGAGCAACTAAAAGCTCCGTGTCCCATGGTGATAAGGCGGGCAGACGGAACAATAAGATGGGTGGAAGATGAAGATCTGAGAGTTCGGGATGGGGTGGCAATGTGAAGCAGGCCAGACAGATAGGGAGGGGCGAGCTTGTAAATGCATTTGAAAGTGAGAACTAGAATTTTGAAAACTATTCTAGTTTCTATGGGCAACCAGTGAAGCTGTTGAAGGACTGGGGTGATATGTTCCCTGGAGGGGGTACGAGTTAGTACCCGAGCTGCAGCATTCTGAAGGAGTTGGAGTTTAC